ATCTGCTCTCCTGTGTACCTGGATTGTCCTTTCCTACTGCCTGCCTCCATGTGGATGTCCCTGTTGTCAGTAATGGGAGCTGGTGAGGGAGGCCAGCATTCAATCCACAGCTCTATCCTTATCTCCTGTGTGATTTTAGGCAATTATCTAATGGACTAAACCCTCCCACCTTTGAAATGAGGTGTGAAAATTCCCACCTCAAAGAGACATTGTAAGGGCCATCATGATGGTAGGTGTCCTTGTGTAAGGGCAGATATATTGAAGAAGAGGGTAAATTTAAAATACCAGAGGAAGGACCTCAAGGAAGAATGTTAGCATTGAGAAGTTGTTCATACATGAACTCCCTGCTCTTCAAGATTTGTACCAGGGGCTTTGGAGAACACCCCCCCCCCTTAGAAGATCCCACATGAGGAGCCCCCACTTGGACTTTCTTTTCCTCAGACCCACTCACAGTAGCTCTGCTCTTGGTCTCTGACCCCATCCTGTGGCTTCACTATCCTCCCCTGCAAGATGCCCTGGTCTGTCTCTCCTCAAGAAAATGGTTTCTCTATTCAGAACCCTGGCTGCAGAAGGGGATGTAGTATCCCCAATTCCTCCTTTTCCTCTGAGCTAAGCACATAGATTCATCATGCTTTAAGGGTTTTACTGCTTATCCCTAAAGAAAAATGGACAAGAACTTAACAAAACACAGACACAGAAAAGAGAATGAGAAGATTTTCAACTCAGAAGATTTTCTCCTCCTGGTATGTGAGCTCTGGCCCCTGCCTGATGGTCAGAAGACTTAGAAGATCCCAACTTTGAAAGTTTAAGCCTAAGGGTAGAAATCATCCAACTTTCCTCAGCCTCTTCCTCCTCCAGCTTACTTAAGTCCCTGGGATTCCGTCATTTGGAGCAATGCTCCTGGATGTGTGGACCATCAGCACTGTCAGACAAGCATGTTCTCCAGGACACCTCACACCTGTTCTGCTGTGGGTCCCCATCATCTGTGTGGCTCTTATGGGTGTAGAGTTTGAGACGTTTTGACTTAGAGAGCTTTTTTCTATGTGTCGAGTGTGTGCAAGTTGTTGTCAGCCAAATAACATCTCCTAATTCATGCAGACAACCAACATTTTGCTTAGCCAGTGACAGGACATTGGATCTGAGGGAACAATAGAAAACATTTAGACCTGCATTATTATTCCGCAAAGAAGAAAGAGAAGCTTAGGAAGGGGAGGGCTCCTTAATGGCTCTTCCATCCTCAGCTCCACCTTCCAGTTGATTATAGTGATAGGGCCATTGTCCACTCCCCATTTCTATTGCCAGTGTCACCTCACTGACCCACTTCTTCTTCATGAGTCCATCAACTCAATAACGATTGCTGTGTGCCAGGCCCTGTGCCAGATGATGGAATGTGACCCTCCTGCTGCCCACTCTGGACTGTAGCCATGGGCACTTTTGGGTCTGCCTGCCTCCAGTGCTACCCTCCAGCCCTGACTCTTCCATGCTGTGAATAAGGATGCTTTCTAAGTCAAGATGTGACTGCACTCTGCCATTCAAGATGAAGTCACACATTCTGAGCAAGGCGCAAGGTGCCTGCAGGTCTGACCCTGCCTACCTCTCCAGGCTGTCCTTTGATTTCAGTGTAGCTCATAACCAGCAGTAAGCTGGAACAAAAATATGTGCAAGGTGGCACATGCCTGATGCATTCCCTCACCTCTGGATCTTTGCTTAAACCTCTCTTCCCACTGACAATGTCCTTCCTGCTTGGAGAGTACTGATTCTACCTTTTACAATTCAGTTTGACAAGCCATTCTTGAACACCATCCCCAACTGTCCCCAAGCAAGAGTGCCCCCACTTCTGCATCTCACTATGCCTTACCACTGACGCCTCTGGGAGCACCTCCTTGCCTTCCCACTCTAAGCCCTGGAAAGTTAGGATGCTGCCTGCTGCACTCTGGGTCTGCCACTCCTGGCCTAGTGTCTGACCCAAGCTGGTCCATGATATATTCCTGCTGAGAGGATACAGAAGCCTAGATGTTGTCCTAAGTGAAAATGTAGATGGTTGGTGGTAAGAAGAATGAAAATAAAATCAGCCCAGCCATTTTTTGAAGCCAGGACTGTGTCTTATTCTCTACATTCATGTCTGGCACATTGCATGCTCATAAAGCTGTTGCCGAATAAAATGAAAAGATGAGAAAATGAGAATTCGGGTCTTCTAGCTCCCATCCCAGGGCTTCTCCTCCCCTGGGAAAGCATATTCAGCAGTGTCTTGGCACCGTTTGAGACAATCCTACCCTTTAATCACAGTTGTTCCCTGGCATAGATCTTATTATTACATAGGAACAAGCTCATTGTTCTCTTTCAGGTCACGTTTTTCTGACTTTCTGCTTTCATGTGAGTGCAGAGTAGGAAATGTTCAGTCTGCCTTCCTGGATAAGGGAAGGCAATTCAGGAATGAGAAGCATGTGTGCCTTGACTCTCCCCTCCCTCACGCTTGCTCCTATGGCACACATGGCTCTTTTTTCTGTTGAGCAAAGATGGAGCACAGAATCCTTTTAACACAATGACACAATCAATTACTCCAAATCAATTATACTTAAGGTGAAGTTTGTTCAACATCCTTGTCCAAAACTTCCCAGCCCTTTCTTTGACAGATTTCTCCTTCTCCATCCTCAGACACCTCTGTGCAGGCTCAGGAACACCTTGAAATACCTTGGTTCCTAGTAGGGTTTCAGGGTCACCTACAACACACTGAAGAAAGCAAAGCAGATCATGCAGGGCCCACGCTGCTGCCTGCCTGGGAGACAGTGGACCTGGCACGGTGAGCAGCTCAGCTTCAGCTTTGGGAGTCTCCACCCAGGGTTTCAGAGCTCTCCTGGCTACTGAAATTGCAAACCTGGGATAACATTAACAATGTTAATGTGCTGTAAAACTTTCTGTGTGTGAGAATCTCACCTAAGAAGAAAAAGAGATGAGCCCATAATGGCTGGCTTTTCATCTTCTCGACGGATTTTATTATAGCAGTAACAAGAGCAATTCCATTAAAAGACTCTTGTCAGGTAACACTTACAGTAGATTATAAGTCAGAATGGGAAAGAGTCTCTATCCTGTACACATTTGGAGGGGCCAGGGGAAAAAAATGAGCATCAGGAAATAAAGCTCACAGGTATTACACGTATGATATATTTTGAGGGCAATGAGGATGGGTATGAACTGGGGGTCAGCTAATTAAGGAGCTAAATCACAAGACTCTGTTGAGTCAGTCATCAGCAGAACACAAAATGGGCTTTTAAGAGGAGTTTGGCATTATAATTCTTATTACACAAAAATTGCACCTAACGCTGGGGCAAAACACTTGCCAAGCCTGTTATAAAAGCAAATTGGCACTGGTCATTTTAAGTAGTCAGGACAGCACACTTACCTTGTGAGGGGAAAGGGGATTTTCACCACCAACAAAATGACCAAACAATTTTGCGGAGGTATCTTAGCAGGAGAGACAGTGTCATATTCCTGGAATTTTCTGTCGCCTGGCTGACACATATCACCTATATTCCCTGTGACATGCCATAGCCTTTCTTGATGCCAGTCAAAATCCAGTGGCAGCAGTCCTGTGGTCTGAATCCAGTCAGTAGTTGGTTTTACCTTGTTTTCCAGGGATTGGAAGACTGGTTGTATCCTGTGCTTGTGGTGTGTAGTAGCCAAAACCTCAGTGAGCAGCAGCCTTGCATGCAAGAGCCATTCATAAGAGCCATACAGATAACCTGGTTGGAGTCTTTGGGGTCAAGCTCATCTCTCAGCAGAGCCTTGGTCTCTGATTCCCTTTCTCAGCTGCCTGTGGGAGGCTGATGGCAAGTTCCAGGGCCACTGTGTTAGGAGATAATGCAGTATCTGGGACCATGTCTGGACTTATTTGAAAGAATACTGGAGTTGTAAAAAATGCCTGGTTTATGTGATAGACAAAAACTTCTGAGTACTATTGTTAGAGGGAAGCCAGATCACAGAATCTCTCATCCAAACATTATGAAGAAATTAACCCCAACAGTACAAACGAGGACAAATTTAGTCAGCAATCCAACCCAGAAAGGTCATGCGCCTCAAAGCTGTAGCAAGAAAGGAAATAGAAGATTCTGGCACAATGTGGCTCTCTATATAACCTAAGGTCTCCTAGGAATCATTGCTAGTGTTTTTTTTTTTTAAGTGTTGAACAAAGGGAAATGTGTAATTAAACTATTATACATCTGTTTAATTATCATGATCAAACCATTAAAAATAATGTTTGCAAATAGTTTATAACAACATGAAAATGCTAATGTTAGTATAGAACTCAAAATTATGTATGCAACATTATTCATTTTGATAAGTAAAAAACTATATATTAAAAACCCTGAGAGAAAATAGATTAAGACTATTTTTTAAAATAAACTTTTAAGAACATTTTAGACTAGTTTTAGATTTACAAAAAACGTGCAAAGATACTACAGGTTCCATATACCTCACCCAAGTTCCCCCTGCTGTTCACATCTTACATTACCATGGTACATTTGTCACAGCTAACAAATCTATGCAACACTGTTTTTAAGCAGAGAAGATGACTCAGAATCTCTTGTGGCAGAGAAATCTATTTTACTTTTGCATGAAATCCACAAGTCTGATCCCCATTGTTTTGTCACGTGTATTCATGTGTTCCATTACAGGATGACCAAGCATCATGTAGAAATGCAAACTATCTATGTTCTGGGACCAGTGAAATAAATAAACTTGGGCTCCCACAGAGAAGTTTCACAGATCCATAGAGGTTGAAGTAAACTGGCAGGTCTGTCTTCCCATTTTTTTGCAGGGTTGGTTTCAGAGGCGGGCAGGACTTGAGCTTGCCCTTGTAGGATCTAGGCACAAATGAAGCTAGGTCCTCACCCTAATTGTCCAGCTGGCCTCACCTGCTGGCCCAGGTTCAAGATGGTCATTAGAGTTCTACTGTCTTTTTATTTGCTTTGCTAGGAAATGGAACTTTCAGTACTGGCTTCATGGTAGACACAGATATAGGTGAGCACAGAAATGCCAAGGGGCTAGAATCAGGGGCCTCGAGTTGGGACAAGACAAGGTAAGTATGAAGCTGATGAAATGAATTATGTTGGACTTGAAATTCATTTCATAGAATGAGGCAGAAAAAGTTTGCCATTTATCCTCTGGTTCACTCATCAAAATGTTTGATTAAATACTATGTGCTTGGAATTACACAGGATGGCTTTTAAAGTCAAATTAGCCATGGCCCGTCCTCTTACACTGAATAATTTAGAAGTCTGTCCACATTTGATCAAATCTGTAAAAGTCTCACTTTCTTGATGGAGATACATCCTAAAAATCCCCTTCTGATATATTTGGAATCTATCCTACAGACATGTTCCAACTAAAGGCTGAAATAGATAAAGGCCTTACATTATATCGTAGGTGATCTAGGTGGCTGGGGGATTCTTCGAAGGAATACCACCTTTCCAAGCCAAGTGTGGTAACAACCATGACCGGGAAAACCCATCTAGCAAAATCATGTCTTGTCTTTCTCTCAACCTGACTTCCAAAAGCTAAATGTAGTTTGCTTCAAACTTGCTTTCTGGGCTGGCCATGGGAAGTCTAAACAAGCCTTAGGGCCTAGACTGAAGCTCAGGCTTTGTACCCAACAAATGCACGGTTAAGATAAAGTCTAATTTGTTGCCGACTCATGGATTTTGCCAGGAAAGTGGTGACTTAGCACCCCACCAGGGAGGCCTGCTGGGAAATTGAGGCTTCACTCAGTGAGGACTAGTGAAATCACCAGAAATGATAATGGTTTTATAGGACAAAAATGCCAAGATGTTTTGCATAGAAGTGTTGAGGTCTAGGAAAGGTTGTTGGCCAGAGAAAAGTAGAAAAAACATATTCATCATAGTAGTGATAATGATGGTAATCAACCAACAGCAGCCCACATGCCCCGAGTGCCTGGGATGAGCCAGGGTCAGTGTTAGTGTTTCCCAAGCATGCCTTATCTTGTTGAATTGGTGCAGCTAGTCTGTGATGCAGCTGTGCCTCCTGGAGGAGGCTGAGTGTTAAGCACACAGAGGTGAAAGTTGAGTTGCTTAAAGTCAAGTTGTCTGTCTTACTTCAAAGTCCCTGCTTCTGAATGTTGCACTCATCCATCCATACATCATCCATCTGTCCATCATCCATCCATCCATCTATCCATTCATGTGGAAGACTGACAGTACCAGCTGCTGGTGAGCACTAGGTGTTTCAAAGTCACTTCTTGGAGCCTCCTGCTTGGCTGGATGATGAAGTGAGGCCCAGAGGACCATGATACGGGCAAAGTTTAAATAGGAGATGAATTATTTCTTGAGAATAAGTATGAAATTACTTGGAACTTGTGACAGGAGATGGGTAAAGTTTTCATCCTCTCTCTAAAGGATTTAAAACTAGATTTTCACCTCACTTGACCAAGTAATATTTTTCTCCCACCAAGAGCAAAGAAATGAATGAGAGAACATTTCTGTTCTCCCTCAGTGCTAAGACTAAGTATTTTTTTCTGAGAGTGACTTAGAACATCTCTATGTGGAGGAGGTACTGGGAGGATTGTTTTTGCTATTTTATTCCTCATTTTTGGGAAAGGAGAAGATGGCTTAGAACAGTGAAAGAGTGTAATCTAATGAACCAAATAGCTTTTAGGAATCACAAAATGCTATCACTTTTCAAATGGCTACATCGAAACATTCAATTTTAAAATATTTATCTTAGCACAAGTTTCATTCCAAAAGATCTTGGTTTTATAGCCAACTTATAAACTCCTGCAGAAGTGGTACCTAATAAAACTGCCAGCAGACCTTTAGCTATAGTAGTATTAACAGTGCCCCTGCAATAAATGGAATAAAAGCATCATCAGACTGGCCTTTTTTACATACACTTTGATGTCCTCAGTCTGTAAGAGGACAGAGGACTTATATTCGTGGAGTCCTCAGAGTTATAAAAACATTGACAAATATATGGCTGTGTACAGATTATCCCAAATGAAATATTTTTACTCCACCACTCAGTGCTGGCTGGTGATAGAGAGATCAGGGCATGCCAAGCTCTGCATTGTTTACTATGGATGTTGATGCTCTTATAAAAGTGTGAGCAGTATTAGAAGGCATCTGAGTGGAAAAACTGATTATTTTGTTATTTTGTGCCTTTGTTACATGGCATTCTTCATGTTGGTTATCTGAGACATTTCATGCTGTTAGCAAAGATGATTTTTCCATGTTGACAAGATTTCTGTACAGCAAGATAGTCATCTTATTAAACATTATGAAGCTGGGTTCATTAAAAAGAGGGCAAGCATTCCATGAAGCATCCACAGTGGCCTCCCTCATACTGGGTGTTCAGTCTCTGTAAAGAATCACCTTCTATCGTGATGATAGATCAGATAAATGTGGGGATCCAGAAGAGGTGTGCAATGAACTGAAAGGGATATAATGAGGAGATGAAATTGACAGGGAATTCTACCATGGCAAAAATTTGATAGTGGATCTTGTTCTCAGGGCTAGAAAAACCTAATGTGTCCTGGGGGCTGCCAGACCAGGGGGTAGTTTTGCTTATTCAGACTAAACTAGACTGTGCAGTTGAAGAAAGACTCCAAACTATAATTAAGAAGGGTAGTTGAGTTCATACCTAGGAATGTTGGATCCTGCATCGGTGGAAGGGAGGACAAGCCCCTGAACAGGATGTAGATCATTTGAACCCCAAGAGCACCAGGCTGGGTGGGATCCATCTTCAGAGCATTGGTGCAGGTGTTCAGGATAAGTCCTGAGAAGAGGGAAAGGAGAATGGCGGCCGGCTCCAATGGGTGCTGACTTGGGGTGAATGTGGCCTGTAGTATATAGTTCATTGGTAACTCCTGTCTCTCCTCATAGCACATGACCTGCCCCACACTTGGGCTCTACTCCAGTGGAAGCTGAAGTGCATGCCTGAGCTCTAAGTTAGAACAGTACTGCTGCCCTTGCCAACTGGCATCCCTGTCCCACTGGACTGTGGTCACCTGGAACAAAAGACTGTGTATTGCACATCAATTTTTCAGGAACTGAGCAAAACTTCCCTCACAAAGTAAGTGCTCTTTAATTGCTGGGACACTAAATAATAAAGTATCTAATGTTATAGAGGCCCAGTCACTTCCTGATTTATCCTAAGTTCCTAAAGGGTAAGGATGTCCCTTCTCTCTCTCTCTTTTTTTAAAGATTTTATTTATTTGGCAGAGAGAGACACTGCGAGAGAGGGAACACAAGCAGGGGGAGTGGGGGAGGGAGAAGCAGGCTTCCTGTGGAGTGGGGAGCCCGATGCGGGGCTCGATCCCAGGACCCTGTGATCATGACCTGAGCAGAAGGCAGACGCTTAACGACTGAGCCACCCAGGCGCCCCTGTCCCTTCTCTTTTAATTGGCCCTGTTCTAGGGTATCATCTAAACATATTTTCATTTGTATATACACGATGAATACATTTATAAATTAATGTAACTTAAACTGTTTCCCAATGCACATTAAGGTCCTTAAAGGTAAGGGCTATATTTCCTTTTTATATGACCCATTACCTAGCATAGTGACCCACATATAAGGATTTAGTAAATATTGGCAGAGTGGAGGGAGCAAAAATCTGACAAATACTGCGTAAGTTTATTTTCTGCATTAGACCCTTTATTTTTTTAAAGTTTTTAAATTCCAGTTAGTTAACATACAGCATAATATTAGTTTCAGTTGTACAATTTAGTGATTCAACACTTCTGTATAACACCCAGTAATCATCATGACAAGTGCCCTCCTCAATTCCCATCACCTATTTAACGCATCTCCCCTCTGGTAACTATTAAGTTGTTTTCCATAGTTAAAAGTCTGTTTCTTGATTTTTCTCTCTCCTCTCTCTTTTTTTTCCCCTTTGCTCATTTGTTTTGTTTCTTAAATTCCACATATGAGTGAAATCATATAGTATTTGTATTTCTCTGACTGGCTTATTTTGCTTAGGATAATAATCTCTAGCTCCATCCACATTGTTGCAAGTAGCAAGATTTTATTCCTTTTTATGGCTGAGTAATATTCCATTGTGTATATATATCACTTCTTCTTTATCCATTCATCAGTCAATGAACATTTGGGTTGTTTCCATAACTTGGCTATTGTAGATAAAGCTGCTATGAACAATTGGAGTACATGTATCTCTTTAAATTAGTATTTTTGTGTTCTTTGGGTAAATACCTAGTAGTGCAATGGTTGGATTATAAGGCGGTTCTATTTTTAACTTTTTGAGGAAACTCCATACTGTTTTCCACAGTGGCTGCATCAGTTTGCATTCCCCTCAACAGGACAAGAGGGTTCCCCTTTCTCTACATTCTTGACAACACTTGTCATTCCTTGTGTTGTTGATTTTAGCCATTCTAACAGGTGTGAATTGATATGTCATTGTAGTTTTAATTTGTATTTCCCTGGTTATGAATGATGATGAACATCTTTTCATGTGTCTGTTGGCCATGTGTATGTTTTCTTTGGAAAAATGTCTATTCATGTCTTCTGACCACTTTAATTGGATTATTCATTCTCTGGGTGTTGCATTTTATAAGTTCTTTATATATTTTGGATACTAACCGTTTATCAGATACGTTTTTTTGCAAATATCTTCTCCCATTCCATAGCTTGCCTTATAATTTTGTTGATCACTTCCTTCTCTGTACAGAAGCTTTTTATTTTGATGTAGTCCCAATAATTTAATTTTGCCTTTGTTTTCCTAGCCTCACAGGATATATCTAGATAGAAGTTCCTATGGCTGATGTCAGAGATATTACTGCCTGTATTCTCTTCTAGGATTTTTATGGTTTCAAGTCTCACATTTGGGTCTTTAATCCATTTTTTATTTATTTTTGTGTATGGTATAAGAAAGTTGTCCCTTTAAACCTGGTCAATGACTTAGAGCCTTTGTTTAACTTTCTGGTTAGGGGTATAAAATAAGAACCTGGAGGAGCCCGCAGCTTCAGAAGACTACAGCAGAGCTTCTAAAATAAAAATGGGAAGACTCCAGGATTCATGTTGGATGATGTCTTGCCTTCACACTGATCAG